ACATGTACATATACACGCACATGTACATATACACGCACATGTACATATACACGCACATGTACACATACACGCACATGTACACATACACGCACATGTACACATACACGCACATGTACACATACACGCACATATACATATACACACACATATACATATACACACACATATACATATACACACACATACATATACACACACATACATATACACACACATACATATACACACACACACACACACACACACACACACAATATACACTAATATATATAATATACAGTAATCTGAGAGATGCTGGAAGGGTTCAAAATCTTTAAATGTCGACTTAAAACCTATATATTTAGAACAAGATTTGGATTAAGAATGGTTTAAATATTTTATTCATCACTTTATTGCATTTAAGCTATAAATTGTTAATCTGTATTATTGCTACTATATTAACAGCTTTATTGCATTTAAGCATTGCATAGATTTAAAATCGTTGGCAGTAAAAATACCTAATTAATGTCTACTAATATAGTTTTACAATAAATTCAATATTTAACGTAATTACGAAGCAACTTCTGAGTGACGGTGTTTTTTATTGCTTTAAATTTGTTCCAGATGGTTTGCTGGAAATTGAAAATATAGCAAAAGCACAAGTGTGATTCATTTGTATTTTGGTGTGCTTTCAGTTTGATGAAGTACATTTTTACCTTCAGCTCTTTAAAGAGTTGTATCTCCATTAAACAGATTCCACAGTAACGTCCATATTGCTCTGTGCTGCATCTCATCTGTTTGCCCCTTTATGTTTCATTTGCAGCTGATCAATAGCTCTCGGGGGGGTTTTAAACTAATTATCGCCGGTCAGGCTCTGATGTAACCATGGCTTTCTCCCATAATCCAGGGCATCGAGCGATATCTGAGGCAAACAACACGGAGTTTAATTCACCGACAAGATGGAACCGCTCTCGTCAAAAGGTCCATTTCAAACAAAAACACACGAGTGGTTTTAAACCCGCTCAGGTGCCAAAAATAAAGGTTTTATCTGTTAATGCTGAACTGCCGGGTGTCAGACAGGACCACGCGTTTACAGCTACAGACAATCTCATCAACACCTTTCTGACAACGTGATCGCAGCTCTGACACATCTCACCGTCCTTCCTGCCTCCGACATCAAACACCACTGTTTTAATCTCAGCTCTGAAACAAACACTTCTAAATACGTCTACTATTATCAGGTTATGAATTATATAATTATGTTCAATGTGATGAACTTTATCAAGAGGTCCAAACTTGTAGTAACGGGCCACAAAGACCAAAAGTGTTAAATATAAAACTCCATTCAGATTGTAATAAATAGTGAGAAACTGCATCACAGTTACTCAAAGTGACACCGTCACAATGTTTGTGTAGTCCAATCCTCAACATTAATACAACACTATTTGGATAAGACATTGTCAGCAGCACATCTTCACACTAAGTTGCTCTTATAGTCAAACTGTTTTAGGTTTTCTGAGCAAAAATCTGAATTTGTAACGAAAGCTGTCAGATAAATTACGTGGAGTCGAAGAAGAAAGTAGTTTGAGAAGGAGAGACTCAAGTAAGGTACAAGTACCTCATTATTGTACTTCGGTACAGTACTCGAGTAAATGTACTTTTACCTCCGACGAAGATCTTACAGCTGGAATCTGACCAGAGATTATTCGTCTACAGAGTCTACACACTGGTCTCGGTGGTGAATAAACCTCCTTTATTTTGAGGTTTATCATTTTAACTTTACTGTCATCTGACTCGACTGAGCTGGTTTCATGCGCCGCCCTGAGCGCTGTGAGGTACCATCGACTCACGGATGAAGGCAGGGAAGTGAACAAAAAGACAATTTTGGTACGAACACAAGAACGGCGATGCATTATTCATGGTTACAACATCAGAAAGAAGGAGGAGAGAGTGGGCCGGGGGAAAAAAAAAAAAAAAAAAAACAGGACAGCGTGGGCGTCAGAGGAGATGATGCAGGAGGAGGAGGGGGGGTTGTTGGAGAGGTGGAGGATAGATGACATTCTCCGATGGTGCAGGAGGGGGTGAGATAAGAATTGAGAGGCATATTTACATTTTCTGCGTCCTCCCTCACCTCGAGAGTCCCCCGCTTGGACGGGTTGAGCACCAGGAAGCGTTTGAGGAGGTTCTCGCAGTCCGTGGACATGTAGAACGGGATGCGGTACTTCCCTCTGAGAACGCGCTCACGCAGCTCCTGCAGGGAGGACGGAGACAACAACAACCGAGACGTTAGCGGGAAAAACAAACATGCAACGTGTCACATTTCATTAATGAGAATCTGAAGAAATTAATACAAGGCTTCATGAGTGCACAGTGCAGATAGTAGCCTGGTAATGTCTACATTAGCTCAAATCTAAGAGAGACTTTCAGACATCATTCCACAGATTAACACTTCAGTTATAAAGACGTTGTTGTTTTGTGCCGTTTTGCACCAAAACCAACCAGCTTGGTAAGAGTCCCGTTCCTGACTCAGATGTTTGAGGAACACAGGATCATAACCGTAGTCCCTCCTCGCGGTCCTACCTTGAGGTTCTGCCCGTCGAACGGCAGCGAGCCGCTGACCAGCGTGTACAGGATGACCCCCAGACTCCAGACGTCCACCTCAGGCCCATCGTACTTCTTCCCCTGGAAAAGCTCCGGCGCGGCGTACGGCGGAGAACCGCAGAACGTGTCCAGCTTGTTGCCCATCGTGAACTCGTTGCTGAAGCCGAAATCTGCGATCTTGATGTTCATGTCTGCGTCGAGGAGCAAGTTCTCCGCCTGAGTACAGAGACGAGAAGGGTTGTGATCTTTTTTACCAACAGTTCACCTGTTTTACTTTTAAGTTTTATTAATTCAGTCAAACTGGAGATTAACCGTTAACCTGACGAGATGGAATAGTGACAAACGTTAATGAAGATCATTAAAATATTACCTCACCTGAAAAGTAGCCGTCTGAAATCAACACACCTTTAATTTTACACTAATAAATTATTTCGGATTACTGTGTTTGTAGCTAATTTTGCACGTCCACATTTATTTTGTTTACTTTGTTTTGTTCCTTATTATTTTCATTGATCTCTGTAGAAACTGTTTGTGTGCCATTATGTTTTTATGTATTAATAAAATGATAAAGAAATAAGAATAAGTTACTATTTTAAACTAAAAGTCAGAGCATGGCTACTAACTAACAGAGTTTTTGATTTTCACATGTATTTAAAATATTTTTTAATTCATAATTTACTCTTTTGAATTAATTGATTTAAGGAATAGTTTGAATACATTTTGATTTTTGAACGGATTACACAAACGGCTAGCAGTTTCCCTTTGCTTTAAGTCTTTATACTAAGCTAAGCTAACCGGCTGTAGTTTTGGATTTATTGTACAGACATGAAAACGGTTTAAATCTTCTCATCTAACCAACAGCAAGACATGAAAGAGTCCGTTTCTCAAATGTATGAAACATATATTATGCCGTTTAGAATATAAAATACCAGAAAACAAAAATGTTCAAAGTGACGTCTTCAAATTCTCCGACCAACAGACATTTGATTTACGTTAATTAACAAAAGAGAAAATGTTCACATTTTAAAAAGCTTCAATATGTTTTGGGGTGTGTTTTCAAACTGTAGTCTGTTTGACAAATTGATTGATCATTTATGCTCTAAAGAGCACTTGTTCTGTTTGATATAGTCCGATCTAACAGAAAGCAGTTCACGTCTCCTTTGTGTGTCCAAAACATCTGCTCACACACAGCTGGAGGCCAGAGACTAATTAGGAAGCTGAAGAAGAAGAAGAAGAAGATCTTCCACTGAGCTCGAGGACTGAACCATGAGGGGTAAACAACTCATTGTAACGTGGCCGACCATTAAAAATAAGACCTCAGTGATGCGTTTAAAAATATGAATATTAATAATAAGCTGGTTGTTCAGCTGAGAGGATGAAGTCAAAAAAAGGGCAAAGTGGAGCCTGGTTAGCGGCGTATGTGGCGTTTCTGTGTCGAGAGCCGTCAGAGGGAATATGGGAGTCATGAAACACGCAACGTCAGATCAGTGACCTTTCCATCCGACGTGAGTCACAGCTAATGAGCCACACAAGGTGGAGACGCTTCCCACATTTAAACTCTTCACAGGATTACTGATAAACACCAATACGACTGAAAACGTGTTCTTTTTTAGCTCCAGAACGCAAATCGTCGTCTTAAATATGAAGTTCTCTGCAGCTCAGAAAGGGAATTAAAAAAAGTGCAGAAAACATCCGACACAAAGCAGCAAACTCCTGAGATATGACTAAACTGATGTTCAAAGCTCAACTGATACATCAGCAGAAAAACAAACGTGGAACCCTGACCCGTAAGAGACAAAGAGGATAAATATAATAAATTAATTTCTCAGTCAACCGTCCAAAAAATATCAGAAAATCACAATTTCCAAAAGGGCTGAAATATCTAAATTGTTCATTTTGGATATGAAGTCCTGTTTCGGTTCATGTCTTTGTTATAATATTTTAATAACTGTATTTAAACATACATGTATTTTCAATATAAAAATCATTGGAGATACATATTTAACCCTTAACAACCCAGTTCTGTTTGAGCTCTATAACGAGGTTATGTTTGAACTCCAGAGAACACGGTGATGTTGCTTCTGATAATTGCCCCACACGTTGCTCTGTTGATCAACCCGTCGTGTGGCCGCATTGCATCAGTTGATAGTCTTCTTCTCTGAACTCACCTTGAGGTCTCTGTGAACGATGTGCTTCTGGTGGCAGTACTGCACCGCCGATACGATCTGTCGGAGGAAACAGAGACAGGCGAGGGTTTAGTTAGACGTCTGCTCTGTTCTCAGGCTGTGATAAAGGATGTGGTGGAAGGAGGAGGAGGAGGAGATGTGGTCGACAGACAGGAAAGATCAAACATAACGCAGGTGGGGCTGAAGACACCAGGGGGTGAGACAACAGGTTTACTTTGCAGCACATTTATCTCTCAGACCAGGGACCAGCTGTGAGGCATCATCATTAAAAAAGAAAACAGCATATTTAGTAGAGGGTGGAGCAAAGTACATGTGTAGCCCCGCCCTAAAGCATACCCTGCTTTATGGTCCGACTCTAAATGGACCATAATTTACTAAATGGACTTCATGCTGTATTGAAGAAGACTTGAAACTAGAGACTGAGAACATAAACTCATGTTTACTGAGGTTTGTGATGAATGACACTTGGATTATACCGCAAGAGTTGATGTTTTGATACAGTTTTGTAAAACGCAGCTTTCATTTGCTTCAATTAATCAAGAATTTCCTCCGTTTCCTTCAATGTGACCTACGGTGAGGAACTGATTTACAAATGTTCATTTCAGGAGTGAAGCATTCCTTTACCGTCTCTAACCAAACCCTCCTTTTAACACAAAATACCGATGAGTGATGGGGGAAGGGGCGGGTCTGGACGTCCGTCATCGCTCTTTAAGACAGAGGACGTCTGTCAGAGGGGGAGGCGGGAGCAGAGGTGTGAAACCAGAACACTGCAGGGGGAGAAAGCTGGGTACCTGTCTAAATTTAGCCCTGGCCTCTTTTTCCTTCATTCGTCCATGTGCAACCAGGTAGTCGAACACCTCTCCTGCACAAAAACAGGAGAGAGAGAGAGAATTAGAGGATGACAAAGAGAGCACTGAATGAGACTAAGAGGAAAAAAAACAAGATAGAAATAACAAAGCAAGTCACAACTTTTTGCGAATTCCCAGATAACTTTTTTTCTGGAGCAGCTGGCCTGCACTGTCACCCATGTGCATGTTTGGAGGGCGTTTGTTGACCATATTGAGGAGAGGCTCAGTGCCGCTTCCTCCACGCCGAGCCTCTCCCGGAGGCACAGAGCTGCTGCCGAGCAACCCTTCCCTCGGCCCACACTTCTGCACACTTCCAGCCAAAACGTGACTAAGTGCTAATTAAACTCGAGTGGCTGGCGTCGATGCTTGTGTGTGTGTGTGTGTGTGTGTGTGTGTGTCCACCCCGAGGAGAAAACAGAAACTAAACAAAACAAGCAACGAAAAAGCGCCTCACTTTTCTTGAAACACTCCCACTCTCTTAGAGCTGACCTGCAGAGGCGGTCAGAGTGTTCGTTTCTGTACTTCACAGCTCCAGAGAAGCAACAATCCACGGCTGCTCTGTGACTCAGCCGCTACAGAGTGTGGCAGCTAACACTTTGCATGTCAGAGCTAAAGGGCACAGCATGTGCTGTACATGGGGACGAGATTAGGGAACAAAGCAGGAACACAGAAACACGTGCCGGTGGAGAAATCTGGATCATGTACGCGTGTGAAACAGGAAGATAGAAATATGCATTTTCTGGCAGCATGACATTCTTAAATAACTCAATAATGCGGAGGCAACTTCTTGAGCCACATTGCTCAACTGAGTTGCTCTTGTTTGAATGCAATTAGCCTCTGATCCTGTACCACATACTACCAACATGTTTCAGTCAAACATCTGCTCTTAAAAATGTGTTCAGAGAAGTTAAAAACATGAAGAACGGGCCTCTTTAGAGCTGAATGCTAACATCAGCATGCTAACAGTGACGGTCCTTACTTTAAACTCGCCTGCAGCTTAAAGGTCGGCAAGAACACTCCCTAACATCTGGTGAGTTTGTATTTTCATTATTCCCGGAGAGATCCACGCAGTCCCGGATCACATGCTGGAGAGGTCGCCTTGAGATTCTGCTCGACTTCCAGAGAAGCAAAGCCGAATAGAGAAATATTAGATTTGTTTCATTGAAGATCGAAGACCAGAGCTCCCGTCTCAGCGGTAATGTGATTTGCTCCTCGGCGAGCACGTCTTTGTCGCCTCAACGGGACCTTTCCAAGGAATCAATGGCGAGATTTGGCTTTTGGCTGTTGTGTGTGACGCTGCATTCAATGAGAATTAAGAAGCTTTCACAAGAGAACGTCCGGTGGAAAGATGCTCGTTTTGGGGTTTTTTTTAGGATGCGAAGCTTTAAAAGATCCAATGACGTAACGATGAGATGCCACTTGCTGTCCGTTCATCATAAAAGCATTTCCTGGAAATGTTTTTCTTACGTTTTACATTTAATGAGCATCCCTCCTCATTCTTCTTCAGTTGCTGAAACTCAAAGTCACTCGAGATGCTAATTTACCTTCACAGACAGGTGTGTGTGTGTGTGTGTGTGGCTTCAGAGGAACTACACTTATGTTTCAACCTAGTGGATAAATCAAGATGATGTCGCAGACATTTAGTAGAAATCCATGGAGCTGCTGTGAGTCGACCAACATGTTCTTCTTGCTCTGACTCAGTGCAGTGTTTCCACTGCACTGATTCGAGTCTCCACATCGACGTACGTCATCATCTTTTCTCCCGTTTCAACCTCCAGGGCTCAGAAGCTCCCTTTGCTTTATCTTTATTTCATGCATTTGTGTGTTCCTCATAGTTTAGTAGACATTTTACTGTGAAGAACTAGAGCCGTGGTTACACTCTTCTTTTTCAGGAAACTTTGATCGGATATATTTTGTGGTCAAAGATGCGGCTGTACAAAAGAAAAAGTTGGATTAACACTTAATTTCCGATAAAAACTTCACAATAAAAGCCCCAGAAATTTCTGTCATCTCAAGTAAAGGTTCTAGAAAATAATTAGGAAACAATGGATCCGTAAAATAAAGCTTTAATCTCTATTTTGAAGTGTAGATGACAATATGTTGCTTCATGTTTTGGACTTTACTTTAAATAATAGACGGTACAAAGTCACCTCACTCAGATTTACACAGATGTGTTTTCTTCAGGTCGAGGTCTGCAGACTATATGCAGCTCAGTGTGTTTAAATTATTAACGCACGCGTCACATTTTGGTGTTAATAAATCATACTTGGGTCGCTGGGAGCAGCACACAGGTTTCTACCGACTACATCTGCTGTAGTGATGTTCGTTTTCAACACAATCACTTGTTTCACGTCGATTCTTCAGTGCGAGGACGGCCGCTTCCTTTGTGAGGGTTGTATTCATTTCTAAAATGTGTTTTCCTCCAAGGTGTCTCAGTCAGACGGGTTCCACACAGTTTTATTTCTGTCTCACCTCCGCTGGCGTACTCCATCACCAGGTAGAGCGTCCTCTCCGTCTCAATCACTTCAAAGAGCTTGACTAAAGGAGGGAGAGAGAGAGGACATTATAAATTAAATTATGTTGAAAGATGGAGGAGATCAGACAGAGAAGGTTATAATTCATGGACACAAATGACAAAACATTTTCCAGTGAAGTCACGTGGATCTCACTGTGTGTGTGCTCAACATTCAAGATGTTAATTGTTCATCGGGTTGTATAAGTACTTTGATGCGAGATGTTTTCACTGGGAAGCTCCATGAAAGAATACAATAAATATAACAAAACATATGCAGCAATAACAATATCCATAAAACAAACAGTAAAGAAGTTGCATATTGCACAAGGGATGAATGACTTGTGATTGATCTGCGCGTGCGTGCCATGACCACGTAAGCGCAGCATCGAGCCGAGCTTAGCAGCACTCGATATTTACTGCGCGGTCCAAAAGCCGCAGTGAGTTCGGCTCGGAGGTATAAAAAGAGGGCTAAATATAGACTAGGTGGGCTGGAAGACAGTGAGGGAGAGATGCAGCGCGTTCACCGTCACCCAGGTCATCATAATCACATGTCAGCAGAGGAAGCCATGCAGCGCCGGGGAAAGCAAGGCAACGGTAATTAGCGGGGAATCCCGCCTCCTTATAACCAAAACGCACCACAGCAGGCTTGTCTGGTGTGTGTACTGTTTAAATGAGTTCATGAACAAGAGAAGGCGCGTTGGTCCTTATGAACATCACTAAAGCTGAATCAACTAGTTGCTTGATAAAAAGAAATCTGCAACTATCTGGAAAATAAATGAATCATTGAAGTTATTTTAAGGATACTTGATGAATCCAGCTTCTTGAATGTGAAGATTTGCTGCTTTTCTTCATTACAACTTTTACTAACAAGCTTTTGCAATATTTAAACCCGGCCCACAGTACTTTGTATTTATCTTTTTTGTTAAAAGTTTTTTTTTTTTTGGCTTTTCTGCTTTTATTGGACATCCGACAGTGAAGTTTAGGGCGACTGTGGTAGGGCCGTCTTTCAATCAGAGGGTTGGCGGTTCAATCCCCGGCTCCGGCTCTGCTAGTCGCATGTCGATGTGTCCTTGAGCAAGACACTTAACCCAAAAAATTGCTCCCGTAGTTGTGCCTACAGTGTAGAAATGTTATAAGACTCTGAAATGCAAGTACTTGGTTTTATTTTGCCTATAAGCATTCATAATAATAGATAAATAGACGGTTACAAACAAACTATTTGGGGTACTACATCCACACACACAGTATATATACATATATACACATACATATACAGTTGTGTGAAAAAATGTTTGCCCCCTTCCTGATTTCTTATTTTTTTGCATGTTTGTCACACTTAAATGTTTCAGATCATCAAACAAATTTAAATATTAGACAAAGATAAAACAAGTACACACAAAATGCAGTTTTTAAATGAAGGTTTTTATTATTAAGGGGAAAAAAAAAATAAAAATCCAAACCTACATGGCCCTGTGTGAAAAAGTGATTGCCCCCTAAACCTAATAACTGGTTGGGCCACCCTTAGCAGCAACAACTGCAATCAAGCATTTGTGATAACTGGCAATGAGTCTTTTACAGCGCTGTAGAGGAATTTTGGCCCACTCATCTTTGCAGAATTGTTGTAATTCAGCCACATTGGAGGGTTTGAGCATGAACCGCCTTTTTAAGGTCATGCCACAGCATCTCAATCGGATTCAGGTCGGGACTTTGACTAGGCCACTCCAAAGTCTTCATTTTGTTTTTCTTAAGCCATTCAGAGGTGGACTTGCTGGTGTGTTTTGGATCATTGTCCTGCTGCAGAACCCAAGTGAGCTTCAGCTTGAGGTCACAAACAGATGGCCGGACATTCTCCTTCAGGATTTTTTGGTAGACAGCAGAATTCATGGTTCCACTTACCACAGCAAGTCTTCCAGGTCCTGAAGCAGCAAAACAGCCCCAGACCATCACACTACCACCACCATATTTTACTGTTGGTATGATGTTCCTTTTCTGAAATGCCG